TAGAAACAGAATGATTTTTGATCTAATTTCCTGGTTTGACCAAGGCTCCTTGCCAAAAATAAGGCTAAATAAAAGCATAAATTAAGGGATCAGAGCAAGATTTAAGGGGAAAAAAGCCAACAAACATTTATAAAATAAAATCCCAAGGATTCTATTATGAATTATTCTATTATTATGAATAATTTTAGCAAAATGTATTTAATTCATGTATACCAGAATATTGGTAAATATGATAGGTGATAATTTTAGCAAAATGTATTAAATTCATGTATGCCAGAATATTGGTAAATATGATATGTTAACTGCATTCAAAAGACATACTAATGTTATTAAAGGACACTAAAAAGTGTTAATAAAATCAAGTTGCCAAATACATGAAAGTCAGTAAGCAGCGATTCACTGCCTTAAAGATCTCAAGAATAAAAATTTCAAGGGCCAGGTACAGTGGCTCATACCTGTAATCCTATCACTCTGGGAGGTCAAGGCAGGAGGATTGCTTGAGCTCAGAAGTTTGTGACCAGATTGAGCAACAGTGAGACACTGTCTCTACTAAAAAAAAAACAAACAAACAAAAAAAAAAACTTCACAAAGCTCTGTTGTACTGGTTTCCAAATAATAGCTGTTAGAGTACTACATTAACAAAGGCAGAAACATGGGTGGCATTCTAATAAAAATAGCTTCAATTTCTTCCATTACTATTAGCTTACTTACTATGGCACTGGTCATCTATCTCGGAAATACAGACTACTAAGCATAAAAGTAAGCTGAGCAAGATAATGTGTTAATATTTTATACAAAATTCATAACTAGTACAAGAATCAATTAATGCTGATATAATAAGAAACCTCATTTTAATGCAACAAAGTATATACACACATAGTCCTTGGGCTACTGGTGAAATTTATTTATCCCTAAAACCCTTCCATACAACTTGGGACTCTAAAGCTACCTAAGGTTCCATGAAGCATGTAGTTAGTCCTTAATTCAGCTAAACTTGTTCACAGTATCTTTCATGGAACATTACCAGCCTTTTGGAAAAATAAGTAGGCATAATTTAACAAAACTAACCTGGGAAAAGACATATATATAACTTTATGTTGGTTTACAAAGCACATTAATATGTTAAAGTTTCACAAAAAAGAAAGCTTTTAATCTACTGTTTACAATAATTATTTGAATGTGAAACCTTTTTGTCCATTATGTTCCCATTAGCTTCTGCCAGAGTAGCAGTGTTCCATATACCTCCAAGACTATGACAAAAATATTCAACACATATTAACAAGTAGTGGTCTACAAAAGGAGTGCCAAGATCAACGAAAGTATCTGTAATGTAACTATAAGGCACCCTTTATCGGTTGAATTGTGTCCCTTCTGCCCCCAAAATATGTTAAGATTCCTAACACCCAGTACCTCAGAAAATCAAGTTCAAATGAGGTCGTCATGGTGAGCTCTGATCCAATATGACTGATATTCTTATAAAAAAGGGGAAATTCAGGACTGTGAAGATGGCCAATGAGAGACAGCTTTCACCCAAGGCTTATGCCAAAAGGAGAAAAATGGACTGAATCTATCTTAGAGGAGTTGAAGCAAGAAGAAATCAAGGCACTCGATGTCCCCATTGAGACTAAAGGTGTGAAAGAGGAAGGGAGGGAGCAGAAAACAGCTATGGAGCTAATGGCCTATAGGAGCCAAGTACCCAACAAAGGGGTAAGAGGAACCCTCCCACTCCTAGGGGTTTTCCAAGGACTCTCTATGTAGAGCACCAAACACAGGATTTCTCACCTCACAGGAGAGAGCCATGAAACCCCAGTTTTCCTGCACCTAGAAATTTCTACGCCTGGGTCCCCATCCTGGCCTTACATAAAACTGAACAAACTTTGTCTCTGATGCCTTTTTCCCATAGCCCATCTCCCCTTTGGTCAGTAAACAGACTGCCCCCTGCAAGGCCAGCCTCCCAATGCTCTGGGAATTGGAGTGCTAGCCCTAGAGGCCTGGCAAGGTTGGAGGGGCGGCCTAACCCTAGGCACTAGGAAGGTGAAAGAACTCTGATTGGACCCACTGGGAAATCAAAGATCATAGAAGCTACTTTCTTCCTCAATACAACTGTCCAAGAGTGGCTCTGACCCCCCTCTGTTTCTGCTGGGTCTCTCTTGGTGGTTCAACCCCAGCTTCCTCCCTGTCAACATGGGGAGGGGTCTAGCATCAGATGAAGCTGCCCTTGGAAGGTCCAAGAAGCAGACTGCAGGCCGTAGTTTCCCTCTCCTAGCCACTGGTGAGGATCACAGTGTATGCAGTCAGCTATAGCCAGGACTCTGCTGAAAAATTCCAGTGATCTGAATTTGTTTGCAGGCATTTGTTCTGTGATGGGGCAGAAAATTGGGTGGGAACAGTTAGGTGGCCAGAGGATTTCCCACCCTTAGTCATGGGGGTGGTTACATCTTTTACAGCAGTGACTTTGTGACATTTCAAGGCTCCTTTTAACTGGGGTGAGGGCAGGCTGATACTAGGACAGAAGCAGATCTAAATGAGAGAATCTCCCAGCCTAGGAACAGCTGATGGTCTACCCCTAGGTGCTACCCCAACCCAAATTAAAGAAAGGAAGGCTGGCCCTCAGAGAATCTCATGCTGCAGCCTTGAAAGGAAGCTTCATAAGGCTGTGTGTGGAAAGGGCCACAGATAAATACTCTAACTCATTTCAACAGTCAGAAGTTCATGAAGGGGTAGCCAGATCCATATCATAGGGCCTCCAGAGCTGATTTTAACCTGCCAATTTTAGTTCAGTTGCTAAACAGGTCTCTGGGGTGCTACCTAAGCGTCCCCAATTAGTTTATCTCTCAATAACTATTAAAGGATAACTTTCAGCTAAAAAGTTTAATTAACATAAAAAATAAGCTGAAAATATAGCTAGAGAAGAACCAGCAGAAGAATCCTGGCAACATGAAAAATCAGAGCAGATCAATTCCCCCGAGAGAGATAAAACTAAAAATACCATCCATAAATAAATTGTTAAAATGTGAGAAATAGAATTCAGAATATGGATGGAAAATAAGATGAATGGAATTGAGAAGATGGAAAAAGAAATCCAAAAAATAGTCCAAAAATTATCACAAGAAATTAGTGAAATTAAAGGCAAAGTCACCAAGAATCTGGAGATAATTAGGAAATATATAGCTGAGCTTAAGGAACTGAAAGAGGCATCCAAGGAAATTCCAAGCACAGTAGAGAACTTCAGTGATAAATAAGAACATGGAAAAGAGACAATTTCAAAAATCAAAATAAAACAATCATTCAAAGAGGCAGAAATTTAGTGAAAAAACACCAGAATATTCCCTGAGTGAGTTATGAGATTACTATAAAAGATAAAACATTCAAATTATAGTAATTCCTAAAGGAATAAAGGATAGTATAAAAGAACTGAAGCTCTACTTTAAATAAGACATCATGGTGGAGACTTTCCAAAGAATTGCAAGAGACACAGAAATTCAGATAGTAGATTGTTTCAGAACTATTGAGCACCACTCAATTTAAACAAAGTATCTTCTAGACACATCATAATTAACTCTGCCAAAGTCAAAATAAAAGAGAAGAGTCTGCAAGCAGCCAGGTGTAAGAAAATTGTTACCTACAAAAAGAAAAATATCAAGATGATAGCGGACTTGTCAGCTGAAACTTTTCAAGCAAGAAGAGGGTGGATATTGACTTTTAACCATCTTACCTGCTAAGCTAAGTTTCATATTTGATGGAGAAATCAAATATTTGCAAACTTTGAAGAAATTTGCCACAATAACACCAGCTCTACAGGAAGTACTCCAACCCATTCTTCATACTGACCAGCACAGTGGTCCATTACCAAAGTAAACACACCCAGAAATTAAAGCACAAAGCCTAGCTTTCTCCATGGTGCAAAGTTAAAACTAAGCAATAGGCCTCCACAAAACAAGACGAACAAAAGTCCACCATACCTATCAATTCTCTCAATAAATGTGAATGGTGTGAATTCCCTACTGAAGAGGCTCGGGCTGGCTAACTGGATAAAAAAACACAAACCAAATATTTACTGTCTCCAAGAAATGTATCTAACCTCTAAGGATAAAAAGAGACTCAGGGTGTAGGGATGGAAAACAATATTCCAAGCAAATGGAAATCAGAAAAAAGCAGGGGTTGCAATCTTATTTGCAGATACAATTGGATTTAAGCCAACAAAAATAAGGAAAAACAATGAAGAACAGTATATACTGGCCAAGGGAACTATATAACATAAGAGATTTCAATCCTTAACATCTATTCACCCAACTTAAATGCTCCTAAATACATAAAAATATCCCTAAATCATTTGAACACTATGATATACTCCAACTCTGTAATAGCTAGAGAGTTCAACACCCCTCTGACAGAACTGGAAGAACTTCTTCTGAGCAAGAGAATTCACAAACTGTGAATTAGGAAATATAAGCTCCCAAAAATATGCCAATAAAGCTATACGCTTCTCAAAGATAGGTAGAATGGTAGAAATTCAAATTCCATGTGTTTAGAAACAAATTCAGCTACAATTTTTAAAAAATGCTCATTTATCTGTTTGACTATTTAATTTTTCTATAAAGAATAAATGTAAATGACCTAAACTAGGTTAATATGGTTTTAAAGTCACTTCTGTTTTTATGTTTATCACATATAAAGAACAACAATAAATTCCCTTTCTGCTTGCTATACTTCTATTTTTTGTTTCTGAAAAACTAAACGTAACTTATTACCAATTGTAAGCCAAAACATTCCTAAATAATTTTAAAGTAGTGAATAAATATTTAGTTTACAAATAAAATATTTTTTATTACTTTATGATCCTCAGAAATCTTAAAAACAAGATGAACTGATTACATGCTTTTCACAGGTAATTAAATTCAGAAACGAAAAATGACAAGTAATAATTTGTGAAATGTATGTTTACTTTGGTATATTTTTTCTTTGCAAAGTTACGACAAAAGAAATGATTTAATGTTCACCTTTAGTTGTACTGCCTTCTCTAAGTTTTCAATCTTTCTTTCAGCTTCTCTCAGCTTCCTTAGCTCCTCTGAGTCTGTGAAACAGCTCTTTGGGGACAAAGACCTTGAACGTTTCACAGGTGGTTCCTCGAGAATAAAACAAGGACATGGTTGAACTAGTTGGAACACTGGATTATGAAAGACATGCAAAATTAAAGAACAAGTAATTTTGAATACTAATAATGAATTATAAAAAAAAAAAAAAACCTGCATGGAATACCAGAGAAATAACAAGCGGAATTACCACAGTGCTACCACTAAAGGTTTCTCTGTGACTCGTTAATGAGAATATTCATTTACATTTACATTGTTTCTTTCAGAATAATGATGTCCCATTAGGGAAGACTAAAGGGTTATAGACTCAGAAATGCAAGAAACCTCATTACAAAGGAGGGGATAGAGGCTGGTCTAATTGCTCTATAAGGGTCCAAGGTTACACTTGATAGGACAACCAGAAACAAGAGGGAAAGGATTTTTTTCCCTTTGAAATAGTTTAACACACTGTGAAGTTGAAGGAACAATATGCTTCAGGAATATAAATACAACAGACAGTAGATCTTATATCATAATGACCATATGGTCATTAACTATAATGTGGCTAACTAGAGACCAGAATATGTTTATATTATGTACAGCTTCATATACCAATCTGGAGAAGGAATATGTGAAAGCAACTATTATGCAGGGCAACATAGTGTTCATCCTTACTGCATGTCCTTACAGAAAAGAAAGAAAATTTCGGCCCACAATACCACCCCCTCCTCTTTTCTTGACTTTTATTAAAAGCAGACAAATGTCAAAGCAGTGTATTTATAAACTTTAGCAACGCAGCAAGCAATGTAATCAGACCTTAAAATGTTCTACATCATTATTAGGGTTTATTTATTTAAATAAAGCTCAGTGTTTGTGAAACTACTTAAAAATAATATATATATCTGTGTTTGTGAAACTACTTAAAAATAAAATATATAATGCAGTTATGTTTTAATAAATAAATAAAGCTCATTCTTTTGAAAATTACTAATAATTTCGGAGAGAGTGAATTAGAATAGCACCAAAACATGGGTCTAATTTTAAATACTTCCTTTGTTAAGATAGTTCTACATAAAACAAAATCAAAAACAATTCTTGAAAACAACTGTGACAAGTGTGAGAAAAATGTTAAAACTCTTCCTTTTAGAAAAATGTTATTTCAATTTATCTAGAAATAATATATTTATAAGATGATATTACGGTATTTTTTATATTAGTAACTCTTGTGTAGCATAACACAAATACTAATGTGAGACATTAATAAATGAGAAATATGCTATGCAAAACTTGTTTGTCTCTAATGGTATTCCTTTAAATCTATAAAAACATGTAAGTGTAGAAATTAATGTTAAAATTCAGTTAATAATTTATACTCCACATGGACAATATTTTAAACAAATCAGAATGAAATCAAAATATTAAGTTATCTTCTTTCTGTTAAAACTAGAAAACTGAGTAAATGACATACCATTTTAAGATAAATTTTTAACCAGATAAGTTACTAATATGTCAGATAAACGAGGAATATTTACCAAAACTTTTTAATATAAGAATGTTAATTTAATAAAATAGATATACTAATAGCAATATATTTAATTGATTAATTTGGGAATATAAGTTAGCCTTTAAAAAGGGAAAACTCTCTACTCCTAACAAGTATTTTATCAAGAGTTTGGACATAACTTTTTCAAAAGATCCCAGCAATTGGTGAGAAGAGGGAGGGCATTTGGTGGGATCTTGCCTAATGCACACATTGCAAGGGTATATTTCAAAATAACTAAGAGTAAATTATAAATGTCTTACCACAAAAAATAAGTGAGGTGATGGTTATTTTAATGAGTTTGAGTTAAACATTCCGCACTGTATATCAGGTCATCACATTGTATCCCATAAATGTACCCAGTTATGATTTTAATTAAAAATTAAATGAAAAAGAAAAAATATAAAGTGAAAAAAAAATGCTGCCCTTTATTTTTTAACTTCATCTCATCTCTTATAGCCTTATCCTGGCAAATTCACAAAATGAGAAAATGTCCCAACCTTATGTTTTACTTCAGCACTTGTCATGATGCTTTTCTCCAAAAACTGTTTGTTACTAGATACGTTCTCAGACAGTTTTTCATTTGCTATTTTCAGTTTCTCCTGTAAATACTCAATTTCAGACTTCTGTGAAACCATTAATGTTTCCAAACTCGATAAGGATGGCTGTTGAGATACCTATTAAAAAAGAACATGTGTAAATATATAAGTATGTTTGTATCTTATATTCTTTACAAATACATGCCAATACATATATTTCATTATACAAAAAAAAATTTATTTTAACAACAAATTATAAACTAGCATGAGCTAAACTTTATTCTAATAAAATGGTATTTTTCAATAAAATAATCAAGAGTCTATACAAATATTTTCATAAATAATGTCACAACAATTTACAGGGGGAAAAAATTAAAGCCTATCTCCATACTGATTCATACTGATAATATACAAACTAATCATTTTAAAATTATGATCATAACTCCTCACAAAATACTCTATTCACCTTGGGATCATCAGAGTTATACAATACCATCTATATAAACACTGGAAAAGGAAACCAGTAGCATTACACCAATTAGCTTTTAATGTATCATAATTTAGTAATGAGTCTTCAAAGAACGTTGATGCTTTTAAAAGTCAATACAATACAGCATTCCATTTTTAAATTTATTAATGTGTCAGATAAAGTGCTTATAGTAAGCCCCTCATTTTACCAAAAGAAATCACAGGAAAATATTATTCTAGGAAACCTGTTCATGAAAGCTAGTATTCTGCTAAAATCTATCATCTCCACTAGATGGAGACCATTAAAACCCATGCATACAAGATATTTCAAATTAATCATTACATTTACAAAACACAAAGGCATGGAATCATAAGGAAAATAATATTTTTGTTGATGTGCTGGCAAAGGAAAATCATACCTTACAATTCAAATATTATAAATATGGTTCTAACTCTGAAAATATTCTCATTTAATCTTACGGAGAGCCTCATCCTACCTACGGACAATGAGGAAAATATATATGTTTAATTTTTTTGAACCAACTATGAGGAATATCACCTTTACCCAATTTTGTCTACTTTTTTCTTCTTTAAGGGAATAGGCAAAAAGTTCCTAATTTTAACCTACACTTTTTATAAGAGGGATCAGCTTAGATTTACAGTATTATATGTCACTCATCTTTATATCATTTGATTTATTTCCCAGCATTTATTCTATCATATTATTAAATATTTTCTTTAAAATGCTTGTCATACTGTAATATGGTACTTAAAATAGCTGTGTATTACTTACCTCATTGTCTTGCTTTGAACACCAAATTAAATGCGTCAAGCATGTTTCTCCCTTTAAGCCTAAATGATTTTGCCCTTTCTTCTTCTACCTCTTTTCATCACTATACAGCTCTTACTTTTCCTTTTTATAATCAATTTATGACATTTACAAATATTTCCTTAGATTGGTTTGCCAAGGTACAAAATTTTCAAAGGCTACATACCCTTGTCTAGATTTCCTTTAATAAAATTATGAAGAATACATTATCATTCCATCATTACCAAATCATTTGAATAATTTATTCAATGTCAAACAGAAATGTAGAATAGAAAAGGAAAAATAATATTAGTTCACTGGCATATCCAATAAACAAGCCTGTGGTCTTTAATTAATGTATTTTCTAAGTTATCACTTGATAATGCTATAGCTATCATAAGTGTAAAAAATTATCTCTCATTCAAGAAACTGGAATAAAAAATAGTTACATATTAATGAAGACAAAAAAGTACTTTAACAGGGGATACTTTCCCTTTAATAATGAACTTCTAATATATTTCTATTAATACATTTAATATTAATGATAACATTTCTCACATTAAGGGATATTTGGCAGAATTCCTCAATTAAAAAAAAAAGCAGAAAATAGCCCAGGTGCCATCAATAGTAGACTGGATATGCAAAATGTGGTGTCTTCATATAATGGAATATTATTCAGCAAAAAAAAAAAAAGAATAAACTCTGGTTACATGCAAAAAATCAAAAAGCATATCATCAGAATTAAAATACCATGAAAGCAATCATAACTCGAATTCACATAGGAGCCAAAAAGATAACACAGACAATTAAGTAAAAGTCACTGTGTCATTGTGTTTTACGTATTTTAAAATAACAGCTTTAGAACTCATCCATCAGAGGTACCTTTTATATATACTAAAATTACATACTCTTTATATATATATATACACACATATATATATATACATGTAGATATGTTCTTCTGTTTCACAAAGTAACTTATTCATGTTCCCATTTTCTTTAAATGTGGTTTTCTCTCTCTCGTCTTTTACCACTTTTGGTAGAGATACACTCACAAAAGTATTTCACATTTCTCTTAATACAATTTTTTAAATTATAAACAAAGTGAATAATCAATACTCAGCCTCACTGTGGAAGAATAAGGGAGGTATTTGGGCAACTACTACTCAATTACAGCCAACTGTTTTCATAGAGGAATGTGGCCCACTACTGCTAAATCTATTGATTATTCAGGAGAAACAAGGAATTAAGTCTTCTAAGGGAATGTCCAAATTTTTAAACATTGATTGGGACCCAGTTTATGACAGCTGTTCTTTAAGAACACAGTGATGGAAATATAATCTGCTATATATTTTCTAGGGGAATTTGGAAATAAGCATGAAAGCCCATAATAATATACCAAGCCATTGACATACTACTCTAATTATGCTGAGGGCCGATATGGAAACATATAGATGATAAATTAAGCGAGAAAAGCAGGATACAAAGTATAGAAATAGATTTCCCCAAACATGCACAGAGAGAAAAATCCAAACGTTGCATTATCTCTAAGTGGAGAAACACTTCATATGAATTATTTTCTTCATACTTATCTGAATTTCTTGAAATTTTTTACATGATCATGCCACTAAAGTTTTCAAAGTATGTTTATTTTTTCATCAAATAAAATGAATAAAATTTAAATGTAAAGTTTTTAGTACAGGTAAGAGAAAAGTAAATGCAAGTCTCTTCTTAATCTCATCTGAGTTCCTAGTGGTAAGCTTGGGATATATCTCTCAGACTTCAAAACTATATATATATATATAATTCTGTCCTTTAACCAACTTTTTAAATTACTAGAAAACCTGATCATATCTACATGTCCTATCCATACACATTCAGTTTCCCCATTATTATTAACAAAATCTTAAATCAATACAGTACATATGTTGTGATTAAAGACTCAACAGTCAAATATTATTAAGAACATAGCATCATGGCATCCTATCAAGGTTACATACTATCAACATGATGTATGACTGTTGATACTGACCTATCACCTAACTGAAGGAATGTTTTGTCAGGTTACTCCACTAAAAAGTTATTCTTTTCCCCAAACCATACTATACTTTTAACCTGGGTTTTAAAACTTAATAACCATAATTATGTATACACACATATAACATAGTATGTGTGAATATATACAAAGGCTGCCCAGAAAGTACCCAGCCATGTACTATGAAAAATAGTATTAATAATGGCAGGATGCTTTCTAGGCAGCCCTCTTATATATATCCTTACATACTTTTATCATTTTTAAGGGCTGTTTTACATGTATGGCAAAATCCAGTTAAATAATCCCTTCTCTGTGGAAGTACATCCTATTACTCTTAAAATCCTTAAATCCTTAAAAAGTTAACTCTTCTAATACTAATTAATATTTTACAAATAACTTTTTCCCTAATATTAAAAAATATTTTTCTCCTTTTTTTGACAGTCTTGGCATATAATTGCTTGGTGCCAGATCATGTTTAATATGATGGTAAATCATCACTGGACTGGACTGTATGTCTAAAGGTCTCAGTTGGAAGCAATCTCTTTAAGTTGCCATTGTTGAAAAAAAAAGCCAGCTTTTTCACATTGACCAACAGAGCTTTTTTTTAATTGAAATTTCTATAAGAAATATAGAATAAAAGGGTTTGAAGCCTTTAAGTGTTGTGCCAATTATTATTTTTAAAACTATATAACTTAAATTTTTAGTTATGTTTCATTAACTCCAAGCAACATTATATGGTACTATTACAATGGAGACTGATTGAATACTGGTCTAATAAATAGAAAATTGCTTCACAGATATACTAATTGCAAAGAATTATAAGTTAAACAGTTTAGTACATTTTAACCACATATATTTGTTTCATACCACATTGAAATAATAATAATGATAAGCATTTAGTTTTTAAAAGTATTTATATCCTAATTCTGGCAAAGCATTTTACATACAGAGTGGCCATAAAGTTCATGTGCAATTTAAAATAGTGTGCAATTAAAAATCACACACAGACTTTATGGCCACACTGCATATTACCTCATTTGTTTAAGAAATTTATAAATTCCTAACTTGCCAACACATAATGCAGCATATTGTAAAGCAAAAACATAAAAACATTTAAAAAAGACATGATACTTCAGCAGAAGAAATTCTCCTACAACAATCTCTCACTGAAAATCAAGTACAATCAAACATGTGTCTGAGTGTGTATATGTATGTAAAATATCTAACATATACAGAAATATCAGGCAAACTAACTACTTGAATGACTGATCTCCTAAAACCAACTCAAAGATAATGGTAAAAAAAGAAATAGTAAAAAAGGATGTGTGTGTGTGTGTGAATATATGTACATATATATACACATACACATGTACATGATTTCTTCCCATAAAATGTCTGAATCTCTGTTGAAACTTGACATTTTATAATCAAAATCAACATTACAGAGAAAAACTCAACAAAATTCAAGCAGTAGGGAGGAGTGTGAAGAAAGGGGTTGGGTAAATCCCCACCCAACTAGCTGGGTATAGGGCACATCTACAAATTTTGACTTTAACCTTACAAATGCAAACTATTGGATTCTAACTATACCCTCCAAATTAATATAAAATAAAAGAGAAATCAATACTGGAAATGCATTTGTTACCAATATATAAAACAAACATTTTTAGCTGAAATATACATAACTTGAAAATGAATGGCTTTAATAATATTTGCATATTCTAGGAAAAAATAGTATGAAGTCAACGTGATATCATAAGTCAAAACAGTATTATACTAGACATTCACAAATGGAATTAAGTATACCAGTTTAAACTTATACCACAC